TCTTCTTCTTCGTCGTGGTCTCCGACTGCAGGTGCGCGGCGGCTTCTTCAACCCAAGGTCCACTATGGCGGACTGCCTCCTTCCGTCACCACCTCAGCTATGGCGTATCGGCCCTGCACACGACGGCGCGCATGGAACAGCGGGTACCAGCTCTGATACCAGTGCAATCAGACTAGACTTATTCACACTTCTCATGCACGTGAACAGCAAAACAACAAACTGGCGCCATGCGCCCACACAGAACTCAGAGATATGGCTCCCAAGTAACAGTTCGCTTCCACAGGCTATGGCGACTGTGCGCCTCAAACAACTCACTGTTCACACTCTGGATCACCCTGGATATCCCACACGCGACACTCAGCACACACACACAGTGCACTCACACTTCCCCTAAGCTACAGCTATGGCGGCTATGGCCGCTGCTACCCTACTGCTATGGCTACGGTATGTCACTCTCGCCCACTTCGTCTCCGGGCCTCCTGCAGACCTCCTCGCACAAGCTGCTGAGGCAGCGCTTCCGCATGGCTTCCACAGGAATGAATGAATGGCTGGGCGCAGCCTCTTGATTTATACTTCTGTGCTGCGTTGGTCTGCCCTGTACCCCTGGCCCATCGTGCACACAGTCCCAGATGGTACTTGCTGGACTGGACCGGACTGGGTGGACTGGGACTGCTGACTGTACTAGGTGGACTACCACCACTTGACCACTTGCCTCTGTTGAACGCAGGCTCACTCCGAAAGGCCACTTCTAGAAACCTCAAACTTGGCCTTTCGGTACTGTAGCAGCTACGACTTTGCCCTTTCAGGTAAGTGGCAGCTACGACCTTGACCCTTCAGGCAGTCTTCAGCTACGACCTCTGAACTGTCTAGACTCCTACCCTACAGGTCTACAGTTCGAATCCCTTCTACCCTGTGACCTACGAAAACCTACCTACCACTGGCGGTCCTACAGGTAGCAGGTTCAAATCTACGGGTTGACACCGGTACTGTACACAGGTAAGATGGGGAACTAGGGATAGAGCCCTGGGAACTGCATCAGCTACTGCGAGCTGGTGAATACCGTTTCAAATGTTGCCCATTTGACATCAATTTGATGATGACATCAACCAGTCCCGTCTATGGACTTTGTTAATACCATCGTATCTGTCATGCCGCTCACTTCGGTGTTGCTTCAGTCTTTGCTCCGCTCTCCAATTTTCATTCTACGTGAGCAATGGTGTAGATGTTGTCGGCGTGAGTGACACAGCAGATACAATGGCATTGACATATGAAGTCCATAGACGGGACTGGTTGATGTCATCATCAAGTGGCTGTATGATTGCTAAGCCGTGTCTTCTCCTGGCTGCGCAGATGACATTGCTTGTGGTGGAGATGAGTCTGCTGGTTGATGTCATCATCAAATGGAGGTAACCAGGAGCACTCCGGCTGGGCACCACCTGTGGAGGTTGCCCGACGATCCAGCCCGACCGGAGTTCCTCGGGGACCGAAAAACTTGAGGATTTTATTATTATTATTATTATATTTTTTTTGTCAGTGGGGCTTTTCTGCGCCCACTGAAAGCAGCTCAAATCCAGGGTTCTTGTTGTTTTTCAGCGTTATCCATTGGGTGGGGGGTGGAGGGGAATATAAATGGGGCTCAAAGGGGTTTTAATAGGGTTTAAAGGGGGCTTAAAGGGGGGTGCACCAACGAGCGTAGCTCAGTTGGTACACCCATAAACTGTTGAAATGCAGACCCGAGTTTGAATCCAGATGAACCGAATTGTTGAATTACCCAGGGCTGGTCAGTTTCACGATGATATCTCAACTTTAATTTGTTTATTTAAATATCTCAAGGTGCAAGGAAAATGAGCGATAGCGAATTTCAGAAATTAAACAGCATCATACACATGAGCCCAGATAGTCGTGACCTCGAACCGATAGCAGAATTGCATCACGAGTTCCACCAAATAACAGCACAGCAAAAGCTCATAATTGACAATCCTGGAATAGTCTCATCATCATCAACGAAGAACCAATGTCGATATCCCATCTGGCGCTCGGCGCCCAGACTACAAATGGCAGATCCTATCTAGCCTATCTACAATGCCTCTGATGACGTCAACCACCCCCCGAAGTACGAGCAGATCTCCGCCAATGCCGTTCGCCTCAAGCACCAGGTATGTATCTCGTATCACTCACAACCTTGATCCCCAACTACAGATGCCGCATGCACCCAAGGACCACCATGCGCCCCATCCAGCATACAGCAGCGCAGCTCGGCTATGGCTGCCTGCTCCTCCCAGCTCGCCCGTGAGCGCGTGAGCGCTGGCCAGCGTTAGCACAGCAGCGCTTGCGCAGCATGCAGCCAGTGCCTGAATGCCCAATGTGTGGGCAGGCCCTTCCCTATATCGAAGTGGCCTGCTGCCGCGTGCGGTAATGCGGTACTGGACCCCGGCCCAGAAGCTTCCGGTAGGCCCCACGAGGCTGAGCCTCAGTCCAAAGGAAACAGGCCCAGGGCCTGTGGTGGTTACCAGCACCCAACTGCCCTCAGCCTTTGTTCGGTCCGCGTTGTGTATCCGGCCCAGGGCCTGCCTCAGTTACATACGATGAAAGGAAGCCTCGGCCTGGGTGCTTCCAACCAACTGGCGCTGCGCAACTGCCTGAATTTCCCCAGTTGCGTGGTGACCCCAAAATGGCCTGTAGGCCTCGGTCGAGCCTGCCTTCACTTAGGGCAGCCGACTGTGTTGAAAATATGCCCTGTAGGGCATATCGAGGCCTTGTGCCTCGCAAAGGGCCCAAGGCCAATGGAAAAAAAAAAAGGGAAAATGAAGAAAGAGAGAAAGGGGGGTTCGTTCGTTTAATTTGTTTATTTAAGACTATTTTCTTTCTTTTCTTGGGCTCGATAAGAAAATCTCAGGTGACACGCAGCCAAACGTTGTTTGCATGGCGAAATTCCACACGACATGTTTATTAAACTTTATTTGAGTTTATTAAAGTTTATTTTTTTATTTTACGCCGGGGCTGCCTGAGACCCCACTCGGGCAGGCTGCCAGGCGTGTGTTCGGGCCCAGGTGCAAAGCCAAGGGACTCTTTGCGGTCTAAACTCTGCATGTGTTATTGCAACTGGTTCCACAATCTTTCGCCACCCCCCCCCGGCCCCCCCCCCCCTCCTTGCCCACCAAAAAAAAAAAAAAAAAAAAAAAAAAAAAGCTTGGTTCAACTTTACCTGCGCTATTTCTTTGGGAGGAGTTACACCCACCCACTTGTGACTGATGATCACTAATCTTTTATTTTAATTTATTTAAATATTTACACTCGTTCAAACTTATTTTAAAGTTTTAGCCTTTTTGTTTTTGTTTTGTTTGGAGAGGACGTCCCAGGTAGTAGGACCTAGCAGTCTTTTACATAGTCAATCCATTGAATCAGAATTTGACTTTTTATCAAGTTTTAAAGTTATGAGAACTTATGACACTGAGAATGCGCTGGGGTCCACTACTCACCAAATGTGCAAAAAATGAGAATGAATCTTCCTCTAGAACATGGGAAGATACACACATATTTTTTTTGTCTTTTGTGCATATGGTCAGTACACTGCGTAGTGAAGCGAGGCCCAATATCATGCGTGTGCATGTAGTACTCAGCCACATGGGC